AAAGTTAGTTTAAATAAAAAAACCATGACCAAAAAAGAATGTTTTAATTGTCACAATATAAAAGAAGGTTTAGAAATTAATTGGTGAGATGAAGAAAATAGAGAACATAAAGAATTCTGTTGTTGAGATTGTTCACAAAATCTAATTCAAAAAGAATTAGATGAAAAAACTGCTGATTGAGAAAGAAATAAAAAGGTGATTTTTAGAAAAACCTTACAAAAGGTTAAAAATAAAGAAAATTTTGATTGACCTTTCAGAACAAGAATTATTAATCAAAAAGGGAGTGGGAGGTGAGATAGGATTACTATATGGTGCCCTCAATGTAAAATCATGTTGGACAGATGTTACTGCTTATGAAGACAGTCGAGGACATAAATGTTCCAAATGTTGTAATTGTCATCAACAAATTAAAAGTGGTGAGCAGAATAAACATTTTTCTTGAAAAGATGATAACATGCCCAGTTATATTTGCTCTAAAAGTGCAGAAGGAAGTGAAATAGTTTGTCACATGTGTGATAAAATGGAACTAAATAAAAAAGGAATGCTAAAAAGTCAAGTTTCTGATTTAAGAGGTGGCATTGCTGCTGGGGTAGTTTTAAGAGCAAATTCTAAAGGTCATGTATATACATGCAGCCCAAATTGGTTTGGTGATTTTGATGGTCAAAATTATTCCAATTTTGATGATAGAAAGTAGAAATTAATTACAGCATTCACTATTAAAAACATAAGTGTAACACCCCTTTACTACATGTGTAACCCCCCTTTATGACAGTGTCAAAATACTTTGGGCTGCATGTATAGTCATGTAGCATTCATTGAAGATGCTTATAATTGTTATACTCAGTTGCTTTAAGTTGTGTAATTTTAATCAATTCATCTAATGTTTCATTCCCACTAGTCCACCCTTCAGTTAACAGCTTTGGATCACATGATTGACAACATGAATAATAGGTATTATAACTATTGCAGGTTGAACATTCCCCATAATACACCTTTCTTTCATCAGAATATTCATCATTTTTGTCAGTAGAAGTATCGTTGTGATGTTTATTTTCATCCAAAATGTTTTCCATTGTGGTTTTATGTATAATCTGTCAAAAAAATTTTTTTTTCAGCCACAAATATGTATCACATTTTTGTACATGAAAATGAAATTATGTGAATTCGCGATTCACATACATGAAATTCAAATTTACATAGTGCAAGTGTGTAAATTCAATTACAGCTCGGGTGTGTCCAATAAATATATAAGATAAAATAAATAAAAAAAAAAAAGTCCAATATATAAATCTCCCTGTATCCGCACACAGCTCAGGGTTCTCAATACTCTATACCAGGCCTCTGTATCCGCACACAGCTCAGAGCCTACTCAAATATCTCTCCTGCGCAATTCTCTCTACAGTACTAATAGAAGTACTGCTGGCCTAAAAATGATAAATAAAAAAAAATATATACAAGAAATATTTACAACTATACCACTTGAGGCGTCCCTACAAGCAGCATAGAACAATCAAATGGGGGGTTCTAACTAATGATTAGTGGCCAACCACTAATCCTAAGAGAGGACCATGGAACAATTCACAATGGCTTTTCCTATTAACTATTGCAGCCCAAATTGGTTTGGTGATTTTGATGGTCAAAATTATTCCAATTTTGATGATAGAAAGTAGAAATTAATTACAGCATTCACTATTAAAAACATAAGTGTAACACCCCTTTACTACATGCATCAGGAAAATAATTTAGTGTAAACTTGCATAAATCTTACTATGCCAACGTAATATTGTGTAAATCTTACAGTGCCGACGTAATATTGTGTAAATCTTACAGTGCCGACATAAGTTTTACACTTTTTTATTATTAAACTTACAATTGACACATGTAAAATTTTTTTATATTTTCCGGATGTT